TGTTATTTACGATTGAGCAGTTTACCTTTTATTTAAGGATTTTTACATCCAAAGAACACAAGTTCAGGTCCAGAATTGCATATTTCTGATCCGACGACTATAAACTAAATTGTTTGTACTTCCTGTTCCTTTCTACTGTACATGCAATGCAAAGAGTGTCACTTAAGTGAAATAAAACTGGAACATACTGTTGATGCAGGAGGAGTTTTCATTGGCTGGTTAAAAGAGGCAGGGGGAGATGCCACCATCATCTTGGGTTGAGGAGGAGGCACAGCAGCAGGAGGGTTTTGGTTTGCATTCACCTGACTGGCAAAGGGGGAACTCTTTATGTGATTAGAGGCCGGGGCAGCTGCCATATTGTTTGGTAAGGTAGGAGGTGCAGGGGGAGCTGCAGGAGGTGGAGGGAAAGAGCTGCTGGCAGATGGAGGGGAAGGTTTTGGTGCAACACTGATTGGGGCGGTGTTCTGGTTCAGGTTCTGGTTCAGTTTTTGTGCCAGAGAGGTTGATGACGTTGCCGTTCTCCCTCCGAAGCCAGACTTCGGGGCCACAGCCGGGGCCTTAGCTAACGGCTGAGGAGCAGAGTTGTGATTGGCTTGTCGGTTTGTTCTGGCTTTGAGTTCTTCTGCCCAGGGTGCTGGTGGCGGGCGGTCTCCCATCTCAGGGGGTGGGAGGAAGGAGAGCGCTGGTTTAGGAGCGGTCGGAGGAGGAGCTGAAGGCTTGGGTGCTGGCGCTGAAGAATACTGGCTCGGTAACTGCGGAAAAAATGAAGACGACGTCAACAATAAACAACAAATACCCTCAAAACCTAGCACACAGTAAATGTCAATGCAAGGCTATTCTATACAAGCATTCCGTTTGTTCTAAAACATAAAACCTCCATTTACTATAAAGTATTACTCAACAGAAGGACGTAAATATCTCGTGAATAACATTGCACGCTGAAATGCTGCAAGCAGACACATTTAGTATATTGAATGAGGTACTTTGATTAAAGTAAACATTAGAAGCGCTCCACAGTTTGCGCTTATCAGAAGTGCTTCATCTTTCTGACGTTTATTTTGCGGTTGTGAGCCAACATTATTCTGCCATGATCCAGAACCTCCCAGTTGGATAAAAACACTCTCCATTTATGGCCCTCTCACTGGGTCTCTGGCAGCACACTCTGGTTCCATCACACGCTCGTGCTCTCCACTCAACTCTGTGTGCATCACTCTCTCCCTCTTTCACTCCAAGTGTCTCCTCTCTCTGTGTGAATCACCAGCTACCTCACTTTTTGTTTTCTCTTCCAGTCTGGTGTGCTGCATGTGCAGTTCACTTATCATTGAGCTTTCAACCTGAACAGATGAAGAGACACGAATGAAACCAAACTGGCATCTCTCCATACTATATCCACTGATCTACCTACCTTTCTTTCTGTCTTCCCTTTGCTTTATCCGACTCATTCTCATTTCCTACAATGCGGCTCCTGTGAGTCAAAGCTAGCTGATTTCCCCTCTCATCCCTTCTTCATGTATCTATTCTAATGTCTTGTGTTTGTTACAGTGTGTTCTCCATCCCTCCATGCTTTGTACCTTAGGGTTGAACGGTCCCCTGGTCTCCATCTCAGACAGCAAGCCAGTTAGAGAGTCGAGCTGTTGTTCGAAGCTTGTCTGCTTCTCCACCAGCCTCTGGCAGAGGAAGACAGAAGACGGTCACAAAATGTACATTTATTTACACAAGTAAAGTGATCACAAAGGAGGATGAGTTCAAGAATAAAAAGGTGGATGATGATGATGCACTGCTACAGACTGTAGGTTATGTTTACATATCCTTGTTCGATTAGGACTGTTTGGTTCTTTTATTTATTCCAAAATGCAGAATGAAAAAAATCTGGTGCTTGCACAATTACTGGAGTGGAAAACCCAGAATGAAAGAATTAATGATAAACAAAGAAACTCAATGAAGTGATTAATGATGACGATGAATAAAATAATAATATTAGAGTTTAATTTCCCTGGTTTGATGAAAGAGAATACTAACTGCTCAATTATTACATTTTGGATTCATTGGCTTGTTTGCAGCTGTTTTAAACATAAGGTATACTCCTATTTTCATCCTTGCCAGGCCATTTTTTTATCTTCAACTTTTTAACGGTGACTAACAATATCTAACTCAATACATTGATGCCTCTATGGCCAGACAAACTAGCTGCAATTGATGAATTCCTACAATTAACATCTCTACTATAAACCTTTCGTGGGAAGTCTAAAAACTATACGCATGAATGGGCAATAATCCAGTTAGATGGATGAAACAGGGTGATTTACCCCAGACTAATGCTAATATCATTTGGGGAAAATCTTAAAAAACAGTCCGTGGACTCATTATGGTCCCACACCAATGTCCTCCAGTGTCCTAACTGATAATCAAATTATCCTGAAATGGAGTTACATGCAGCTAAAAGAGGAAACATGCAGACAGGCAGAGCAACTTTAGCCTAATTTGGTGAAGATGCCATCGGGACTCACCTGTGAGTTTCCAGCAGCATTGGGAATACTGGTACCGGAGGCAGGGAGAGGTGGAGGTGGAGGGGGTGGGGGAGGAGGGGGAGACGGGCAGGAGGGCGGACAGTCAATCTCCTCGGGGGGAGCTGGGAGGGGCAGGTCGTCTGCTACTGGAGGTGGAGCGGGGAAGGCAGGAGGGGAGGTGGTTTGGCATTCGGGGGGAGGGGCTGGCAAATCATCATCCAGAGGAGGAGGAGGAGGAGGGGGCGGGAAGTCTGACAGAAATGAGGAGGGTTGATTGGTTAAAAGCTGTGACGTAGAGGTTCTCTTTATATTCAAGTTTGTACAAACCATCCAGTCCGGTTTTCACTGTCAATGATTTATCAGATATACTGATGACAACATCTGTTTACAGCAACAACAAACAAACAAGGCAATCAAATAAGAAGCTGTGGGGAGGATTGAACCCGTTTGGAAGGTTTTTGAACTTTAGCTGTTCCACTGATGGCTTCTTAACGTTACATGTCAAGCCAAGTCCTGCCGGTATCTCCCCCCCATGTTTCTCTGTATTAAAGGTGCCATAAAGGAGTTTTCTTGTAAACAAAGAAAATGTGATTTTTTAGTGTTTCTTACTAAAATGCATTGTGTGTATTCTTGAGCTCTAACAAACATGTTCAATGCATTTTCTCCCCGAAAAGTTATTTGGTACATTTTGTGAAACTAATTATTATTATTTTTTTAAATATTTGACACCCTGCACTGTTTACATACAACCCATAGCAGCTGGAACACTGTGCAGATGTTTCCCCATGCACGTGTGCAATCCAAACTAAACAGGGGCCCACTTGGTTAAAAACAGACCTCCATCGCTCTTCTAGTGGTCAACAACTCCACAGGGTAGCTTTAATTTGGTGTCCGTGATTTAGACCAGCTCAGACATTCTCAAATTCACACCAGTAGTATCATTCTGCATACCTCGAAAAGTAAAGAGTAAAATCCCCCAATTAGCAAACTGGTGTGACACTTTAAACCATCTAAGACAGGAATTACGGTACAGTGACGTAATGTCTCTGAGAAAACTCATTAAAATGACAGCACCACACAATTGATGTGTTCTATTATATACTCGACTGTGAAGCTCTGCATGCGTTAGCGTAACAAGCAGCAGGGGGTGGGACAGGGAAGGGCTGCCGACTGAGAGAATATAACTTGAGACTGACACAAAATAACATAAACAACGCACATACCATCACAGAGCGACGGGGGCGGCGGAGGCAGATCTCCCACTCGACCAATCACAGCTGTGCCTATTGGCGTCGGTGATGGAGCGGAGGGAGGCGTCAGACTTTTGGGCCGTGGTGGTGCCACAGAGGCAAACTTCTTTGGCTGGTTGTAGAAAGTCGGGGTGGTGACTTTGAAGTTCAGAGAGGACGTCACCATCAATGGCTTGCTGCTGCTGGAGTCCTCCATTTTGCGTATTTATCTGAGGATTAAAAACAAGAAACATTATTGTCAACAGTTAAGACGCCGCAGAGGAAAATATTAACTCTGATATAAGCGGTTGTTTTATAACAAAAAAGGTATGAAACAGGTTGCAGCGAAGTTCAAACAACTCCAGACTGATGAAATCAACATTAAATCAGCTGACTGAAGTCAAAGGGCTCGCATTCCTTGGAAGCCGGTTGGGTTTTATTGCTGGAGAATTACTCAAAAAAATAAAAGTAATAAATCTCTGGGAGAACATTTTTCTTTACTCCCTTAAGTTTCCAACTTTAAAAGTTGCAGTTACTTTCTAAAATTGCAGTTTGATTGATCCAATGTGTGCATATTGTTTCACATTTCCTGTTAGTAAGAAACATTAACTTCTCCATTATCAACTGCCAAAACAGTACACTATGCAGATTGGTACCTTTTGTATACTTTATAACCGGGACGCAGCTGTCTCGACCGCTACGGTCCAACAAAAACTAATTAAAATGGAGGTTTACTGCGGCTTGCAGGATCTCTTAAAATGTAGTATGGACTTCACCATTTCTGGATTTAGTGAAATAGCAGTAAAAAAGAAAAGAAAATAACAACCACTAGGCATTCTGCAAATCCAGTATTACTCTTTAAACACAAAAGCTTGGTGCACAGTGGAATGAGAGAAACGTGTGTGAACACTTCCTGAGGCCATGTATACAGAGCAGACATAGTGCCACTCCCAGATGCCAGAGACGACTCACGATATGTAACACACGGCTGTTTACTGTGACATGAAATAAAGTCGTGTAACAGGGAGACCAGTTGGAAGCCGGGACTATAGCAACTACCGTAACCTTTTCGTGTGAGGTGCGTCAAAAAGAGGACGAGCTCAAATATTTACCTCACACATGTTAGTGGTTAAACAAACGTTACTTCAGTGTCTCTACTGAGATTCTTCGCAGAGTCTGAACACATTTCTCTGAAGACACCCCGGCCCCCCCCGACACATGAACTTCATTCAAAAGAACGGTTGTTCTTTCTGAACCCCTCCACCAACACACTCACACTCACACTATTCCACCCCAAAGCTCTGAAATAGTTGCATCCTCATGATGATAATACACTGTGGAAATGATTAACCGCGTCAGTGTTCGGCCTACTTATAACAGACCTTTAATAGGTTGTAAAAGATAAATGTCATGCAGCCACAACACACAACCTGTAACAAAATGAGTTACAGACAGGTGGAAAGAATTAACAAATTGGAGCTGACATTTTCCAGTGAACAAACAATATGTTATTGTGTCTTTGTTGTGTGCCATTTATCCTCTTCATCCTAATGAAGCTTACACAGCATTGATACCTCCATACATGTCATGGTTACCAAAAAAGAAGAGTGTGGGACTATTTTCTCAGTGAACTTTAATTCAAAAGTCAATAAATGTTGAGTCATTGTTTTGGCTACGATAATAAAGCTCACTGGAAAAAAAAAAAAGATGAAGGTTGTACTTGTGTGTCAAGAGCTTTCTTGAGATATCTTAAATATTTCTCTCTACTTTTCCTTAAAAATGGAAAGTAAAAGACCTAGTATGTTGATAATGTCGCCAATGTTTCCTCTCAACACTACAGAAATATGATCCCTTAAATATAAAATATTGTGAATACTGAAATAACTGAAGAACATTTTTGTATTACCTCAGGGCTTTGAAATTGACTTCTTCTATTTAAACATATTGTATCTTTGCCTGTGCACATGTTGCCAAGTAGTTCTCCAAAAGCCTGAGAAACATCTTTGTTTGCACCGTGGGTAAACTGTACATCAGTGGTTTACACCATTTATGTATAATTGGGCTTACATTTGGGAAAACAAACCTTCCAGGAAGAGATCAGACCTGACACAGCCTTGAAAATCCCCATGCAGGCTGACGTCCTCACTGACTAACTGATGGTGAAAGTGTTTCATCCTCATTCCACTGTGTTGGGACACACAGGCAACGCTTCAAGTTCTGACAAAACAAACAACCCAGAGAGCTCACGAAAGCATCTCTGGTGCTCATGACATAACCAGCTACTCTGATGACGAAGCAGCGAGACCCTTCCTCTTCTGCTTTTTGGGTTTGCTTCCTTTACATTTTCCACAAAAACTATCTTGTACATATTGCTAGTGCGCCACTGGTTGAGCTACCATGTGTCTAAGGTAACTTTAACTAGGTCTTTATTTGCATGAATATAATTATTTGTATGCATTTGTTTCATCAGAGAGCTCTATGTGTGTATGTAGAGTATGTAATATCCAACATAAATAATTCAGAAAATTGCTGCATGGATCAATAAGGGAGATGGTGAGGCATTGATGGAGATGCAAAGTTTTCTGGTTATCAACGTTCTGCAGGCACACAAAATAAAATACCAAACCAAAAAGAAAAGAGAGAAAGGACAGGTGTTTTCAGTCTTTTAGAGAATAGCTGGCTACTCATTATTCTAGTATCAAGGCCTACTTCAAGTTGAATGGAGTAGACACTTAAAGCAAACACAGATTGACCGGTTACAGTGAAGATAATGCTCTTGTCTTTAAATAAGGTTTGCAAGTCTGAAGTACTCTAAGCGGAACACTTGGATTTATAATGGCTTTCTAAAAAAGGAGGAGTGCTTGACAAAGGGTGGATATAGACTTGTGATTTAGTATTTTCATTACAGTACTTTAGCTACATTGTTTCTAAGAGACAATATGCAATAGTCCTCTCAATTATTCAACAGTGATGATAAACTTGTGGTCAGGTTCCATCTGGTCTTGAGGGGTTTAATACGGCGAGATCAGCTCCACGTTGAACTCCACACATCTTGAAACCTGATCCTTGAGATGAGCGAGACCCTCGTCTAAAGGGAATATTTGGCACTACACCTCAATGACACCATTTTTTTTTGTTTGTTTCCCTCCAAACACCCTCTCTTTCTATATATATATATATATATATATATATATATATATATATGCTAGAATTAAGCTCTAGCTCACTCTCACAATCATTGTGTTACATTTAGATTGGGCCCCAGCATCAATCACACACTGTACTCTGTAGTTTTTGAACTTTGTGTAAACTCCGCATGGCTAGACAGCTTTTTAGAGGCTAGGAAATTGGTTCTCAACACCGGTTTGGGTACTACAGCCTAGTTGGGTTTTCATTCCATCTTGTCAGGGACTAATTTAAAACACGGCACCGAGGGTAAATGTAATCAGCCGAACAACCTCGAAGGATATAAAAACCTAGCGTGGCTGGTGCACTCATCAACATGATTATAGAATCACTGCTCTAAGCATTTTAAATCCCATATGGGCTACTAAAAAAAACACAAACAAGCAAAAGTTTTAAAAAAAACAGCTCTTTTTGAGCCACACTTTCTAATATCTTTGTGTGTTGTCTCAGCGTTGATACGTTTCACATGAACACCCTCTGAAGGCGTAGACTACGTGATACAGTGGCTGTTAATGGGGAGTTAGTTTACAATGCTTTTCAAAGGGAAACTGTTTAACTCAGCTGTGGTTCATTACTTTGAGGTTATAGGGGAACTACAATTGGTTTATATACTGTGATGCTGCTTTTTAAAAGGTCATAAATGGAAGCATTGTAGTATGGTGCCTTAACTTAAATCTTCCCCACCAACATTAGCTACAGTATGTCTTCATATAGTGATATTTTCATTAAGTACCTCTATGCCCACATAAATGATGTCCCTTTTTTTTTTTTTTTTTTTTAAACAACACTGGCAGAAATAAAGCTCCTACATCAGCAATAAGCTAGTCACTGCCCATCAATACAAATAATAAAAACAATGAAGAAATACAAATAAAAACAGAAATTTAATTCCACAACAAATCTGGTAGGTACCCTAACAGTTAAGAGAACCTGAATTCCTTACAGTAACTAACTTCTTCCATGTCTGGTCAGTCATTGTATCAGTGACTAGTGTGTTGTTGATGAAACTCATTGTTCTGATGTTAATAGCACACCCAGTTTCTGGGAAAGCGTGTCTAGGCCGAGGGTCACTAATGCGGAGACAAACAACCCCTTTGAGTCCAATCTTACAGGTCACTGGACACGCATTGAGCACCAGTGTTGTGCTCCCTCTCAGACTACAGTTAGATGGCTGATTGAGCGGGCAACATTTAAAAAAACAAAAACGGGTAATAACGTGAGCGAATGGGTCCGTGTCAACCAAACAACCTCATCTGCTTGCACTACCATTACAGTAGAATGAAGAAGGATCACAAGACAGCAAGAGACAAAATCAAAGAGCAAGACACGCAGCGATTTGGGGCCCTAAAATAGCTGGTGTTTTGACTCATGGAGGCTACAATTAAGGAAGGATTCCTCATCACCCCAGTCATAAACGGTAGCATACATCCATTCATTAGTTATCTTCATTCACAGATTTTCATTTGCCTCACCCATTTACTGAGGTGTGAGTGAATATCATCCCAGTCTTTTCAAAAAGAAGCACCACACTAACCTCAGGCTAAGTTATTCTTAAATACAGATTATTGTGGCCTTGAGTTGAGTCTTATCTTATGGAAAAGGCACATATGAGAGGCGACGCACAGCTGTGTTTCTAACACCGATAGAAACAGGATTTCTTACAATTGTAGAAATGCTATGCTAAAATGGCCATAATTCTAACCATCCCAACATCCTTTATTAGTGTTCAGAGCTGTGGCAGATATCTTCGCATCCTCTCATTTATGACATGATGAGTCCCAGGTAGGGTATGAATATAGGCCATGCAATGGGGAAGGAGCCTCATTGGCCTCCTCAACATGGGCACAACTGAACAGTAAACATCTGATAGCCTGATTTGTTTTTACTTGGCACTATCAATTAGTCAAACATACCGTACCTGGGTGCTCCACCCACCTTGACACTGATTAGCCAATGCTTTAACAACTGACAGCAATGGCTGAGTGGTCACAAACACAGCAAATGAAGACAGACAGCTAGGTTTAATCAACACAATAATAATTCCATTTCTAGTGACGTACACAACAGCAAGATGTCGCACAGCTAGCTATAAACTCGCTAGCTATGTGGCTGAGAGAGCAAATTCAAAGTTCCACGTTAATGCTAGTTATTAAACGTTAGCCGTTAGGAATATCGAACGTCGACAGCGTTCGAAAATCGATGGTTGAATGACAAGTGACCATCACCTGAGAGTCTGATGAGGAACCAAACGTTAACGTAACATCATGGGGTACGTTAGCTAGCTTCCCTCGCGCACACCCCTACCATTCCTTTAGCTTTGGTCCGTTTGTTTCGGTGACTAATACCGCCCCGTTTTTCTTACCTCATATGGCAAAGCAGACGGCTTCTCGGTGCTGTCATCAAGTTTGATATCAATGCTGCTCTCTGAATTAAATAAAAGCCACCAGCGTTTGCTAGCTGATAGCTAGCTTTGTCAACTTTTTACACTGGACTTCCTGTTGGAGCTTCCGCATAGCCAGTTCCTTATCGTTGGTGTCCATCAGCTGGTGTAGCAGCCTACAGTGCAATTCACATTCACTATACGGCCTCTCAGCTCAGAGAAACAACGGAACCCCACCTACTGAGAGCTATCTTTCAACTTCAGTCTGCAGTAATATAATGAAATTTAATAAAAAAAAACGCTGACAGATCAACACTAGACATCACAAAGAGTCCATTCCCTGAGGTGTTAACTGCAGTCCAATTGATTGATCAGTTTATCTGCGCTATCATGACACTCTACCTTATTCGGTAACCTGTGGCAATAAAAATCAAAAAGTAAGATATGAGATCTGCTCCTATTACCCCGATTCACAGCAAATACAATTACTTACCCTGTTAATACAGCTGCAATGTGTGTATTTGTCCTTCCCCTCTTCCTTGTGTTCTTCTTTTTCTCTCAATCCAGGTTGAGTAAGAGTTTGACTGTAATGGTAACTTCTCTTTCTCGCTTCCCCTCTCCAGCTATTAGACCCTCCCCCTGTGCTTTTCAGTCTGGAAAAGGAATGACACCATCCTTCCAAACAAGTTCTCTCTCGTTTTACTCAGGAGTTGTGTATTACTTTGCAAACAGCACCTCTCTCTCTCTCTCTCTCTCTCTCTCTCTCTCTCTCTCTCTCTCTCTCTCTCTCTCTGTGTGTGTTCATAAACTGTCCAGTCAGACCCCTCCTCCTGCTCTCTTTTTCTCTCTGGATTCTTGCAGCATTCTTCATTCAATGACATCAACCCTGTTGCCTCTCCTTGTAAGGTCAGACTGAGGGAATGAGGGAGCGAGAGGGGGGGGGGGAGATAATGGGGCCAGAGGCTTGATTAGATACAGACACTAAAAAGTGGTCAGGGTTTTAAACACAAGGAGGTACAGTGTCTGAAGAAAGTATGTTCAAACAGGGCTGGGTTGTGGAATAGGTTGTAAATTTTAACTTTTCTTTACCGTCAGGGGAAAGAAAAATAAGACTGGTGTTATGCCTCTCTTGCACTTGCCTCGACAGGCAAGGCTGAGAATCAGATTGTAAATTTATCTGTTGCCAAGTGCGCTGTCACATCGTTATTTTCTTTGCACTAAGGGCAGTAAACATGCAAAGACTTAGATCGGTTCTCTGTACTCGATAAGTACACTTGATTATAGAGAGCAAATACATTTCATGGCTCTTTCACATATCGTGTGTGTTCATCCTGACATCGCCCTCAACCTGGTGTTAAATGACACCTCCCATCCTGCACGTTAGCCACTTCTATGACTTAATATCCTTTTATGTCTCACCCACACACTCACACTCACACACTCACTCACTCACTCACACACACACACACACACACACACACACACACACACACACACACAC